TACTCATAACTAGACATTGAGACATTTTCATTTTTGTCGACCAATACTCTGTATATATGCCATGACTCCTGGGGGGGCGGTTGCAGTATAAGTTTTAAATCCTACCTCCTCTTTGTTAGTTGATGGGACATGGACCAAACTCAAAAGTCATAAAAGACGTTAAATACATTTTTCTGTTATTTTTATTCCTTTTTATCACGCTGATGTTTGTGCAAGTGTTCATTTTTCCAACAACTGGTTTGAATTAATTATTTGATGCAGTGATCAAACTCGTGTCTTGGCGGGACCTCACTGCCACGGCTCCATCCCCCGATCGCTACTGTGCAGACTCTGGCTCCAAATGCACAAGATTTTCGTATCCAGGATATTTTGGCTTCATGTCTGGATAGTGGGAGGAAGTAGGCTTTATAAACGTGTCTACGAGTCGACGTTCAGTTAAAATGCTTGTTCTAAATGATCTTTCACACTTGAAACACTTCATTGGTCAGCACTGTACACGGACTGAATTTAGCACGTAGAGCTTTTCTTGTATTATTGTCCAATTAAAGCGTTTGACTCTACAAGTTACTTTCAACCATTCACACCCACACTCTTGCAATGCCTCTATATGTAGCACCTTCTCTATCACACACCATTCACACCCTGCACGTACAGCCGTTAAAAGCAATTTACGGCACAGTGTCTTGCCCATGTAGACTGGAGGAGCCGGGGATCGAACCACTGACCTTCTGGTTAACGGACCCGCTCTGCTTCCTGAGCTACAGCAGTCCATAATGAAATATGAAGCCGCCATTTACCCTATGGCACCTGTGTAGTTTTGATTACAGGAATAAAGTCAACTATGAATTTTTCACGTCTGAAATGAGACCCACTTTATCTTTCAGGGTTCAAACCTGCGGCGACACTTCACTGTGATCATCCTTAACAATGCAGGCAAAAATAAACTAATGGGACTGTTGTGACTCATGAGATTGGTGCACAAACACATACAGTATACAGTAAGCACATCCATTTCAGCCTCACTCCCCGCTGCCCTATCCTTAACGCTAAGAGCCGGGCCCCTGCTGTCGTCTGAGTAAATGTTTTTTCATGCTGCCTTGGCCCCTTCCTAATCAGGGCTGGGTGTGTGCCGGATAAATCAGTCGCCCTCTGAAGTTTGGCAGCAGCACTAAAACCGAGGGACCCGGGGCCTTGTTTGGAGAAGGTTGTGAGCTCTCAATCATATTTCTTACAGGAGCAAAGTTTCTCTCCCTCTGTAAGTTTCTCGCTTTCTCTCCCTTCTTTATGTCTTTCACTCTCCGGCTTGTTCTTTTCTCTCTTTTTTTTTCTTCTGCCAAACCCTCAGGGAGTCTGCAGCCAACTGGGTTGTGACTGTTAATTCATTATTTGTGTTATTGCACAGGGGGAAGGAGAGAAGGCTTCCTTTACCTTATAGATTGGGAGATTTATATATCGCTCGGCTGTTGCACTTAAGAGGAATGGATATGTGGAGGATGGCTTGTTAACAGTGACCTTACAAAGTGGAAGGACAGGGATAGTTTGTATTTCCACACAAAGTTATACATGTTCGACTTTTGCACACACACACGCACACACACACACACACACAAACACACACAAACACACACACACACACACACACGAATATTTTACATGATCCCTCCTGGATAGAAAAATACTTAAACGCTCCCATGCACACGGTCATGTCACACCACTGAGATGCCGAGACAAACTACTTCCTTGAGGCTGAAATTTATAGTTGCCTGGCGGACTGTGTTAATCAGATTAAAGTGAAGTCCATCATCCTGGTTTGAGGTAGAGTTACTCTGTGTGTGTGTGTGTGTGTGTGTGTGTGTGTGTGTGTGTGTATAGGAAACACCTTCAGCACATATTTACACATTCTTCACTGTTTCATATTGATTAAACTGTTGCAGGGAGGAGTACAAAAAATGTTTAACCGCTCAAAATGAGGAAGTTTTCCGTCAGTGGCGCATACATTTATAAGATTTTCCAATATTTCGTTTCCCCTCTGAAGTTGTTGAGAGGCCACCTGGGATCATCGCTGTAACGTTCCCGTAGAATGTAAATAAAGATGGATGATACAATTCCCCTTCCCAGGATTTTTGGAAATGGAAACTAAAGTAGATTTGGGAAGAAGCAGAGGGGGGATTAAGCACATAAAATGGTCTATAAGCAGTTTAATGCATGTTTACAAACACATTCTGAATGTGGCGTCACAAAAAGTTTTTTACTTATGTCTACATTCTTCATGCTTCCGTTAGATCGGACGTTTCTTTGGCGTGATCGACCCCGTCCTCATGAGAAGCCTGAATGACTCCCTGTTCACCTATAAGCAGACCTACGACTACCAGTCGCTCTGTGACCCCAAGAAAGAGAGCAAGGCGGCTGCAGGCCTGCGATCAGTCTACGTGGTGAGTTACATAAGCCAGAGATCATGCACACACACACATGCACACAACCTACCACACACACACTTTGTCACCCATATGTGCACACACCTACACTTACATGTTCACACATTTTCATATCCATACATACATCTACTCATTTCCCTGCATGAGCACACAGACAGATGCAGCCATTTTTTTTTTTTTTTTTTTTTTTTTTTACTTACGACTGCTTCCACACACACACACACAAACCATCAGCCACCAGGGAACCATAAATCTGCACAGAGCAGATGAGAGGGGTAGCAGAGGGTATGGTGAACGCGTTAGAGTGGGAGTTGCAGTAACAGTAACGGGATTAGGTGGTCTGGTGTGCTCTGCTAACACACTAAGTGATGTAGAGAAGGGGGCACTGTTCTTCCTCTCTTACAAAACACTCAACTCGCAGTGAAATGTTGCAAATTGTCCGCAGACATCACTCTAACGCCGCCTCAGATCCTCAAACGTTTACATTACCGGTAGCGTTAGACGGAGCTGATACCAAGAGATGAATTTTCTTACTAAAAACACAAACGGTTCCCATCGCTGATAGACAAACTAAACCATGTGTGCGACATGCCTGAGTTACCAAGGTGAGATGAAAGATGCTGATCAAGGCAGCCGTTGACAGCCAGCGATGCCTCCAACACAGTTAGTGAAATCTACATAGTGACTCAACACGCTATCAACGGAGCAGAGAGGACCCGGCCATGATTCACCAAAACAAGGCCCTCGCATGCTAAGCATAATCAAAGCAGCATGTCGGGCCTTTTATTTGAACCGTGTGCTACTTTGTTTTCTCACTGGCCCTTTGTTTACGTATGTATGCTCACATCTGTGGAGGAGGCTCTCCGCAACCAGCTCCACTGCAGCCACTGTAAACACAAGCAGGATGTTCAGATTGGTTCAACCAGCTTAAAGTGATTTGCTCCATGATTCATTATGTGGATAATTTTGTCCCACTCTGATATTAATTTCAATCTTGTTTGTCCCTGTCAGCCAACAATCGCAGATATTTTGAATTTAGGATGGTGGGCGACAGCTGCAGCCTGGTGAGTCTCTTGTTTTTTTATTGACCTTTTCCAATATGGTTGTCGTTAGTGTCATCCCATTTTTTGGTCAAATGATTAATCACAAAATTACACAGTATAAAAATCCTTAACCTCACATCGTAATGGAAAGCACGCAAGGATTTCTTCCTCTAAAATGGACGTATAGCATCTGTTTAATAGCTGAAATGTTCCCAAGGCAGTCAGCATTCCACAAAATCTTCTCTTGATTTATGCTCCGTCTCAGTGTCTTGATGTCATTAACAGCTTGTTTTACAATATTTGCAATAAAAACGAATTTTGGTCGCATTCAAATCATGCAATTTGACACTTAAAACAATAAAGAACTAATTGGTTTGAGGTCAGCAGCGTGTTTGTTGGGTGTTTTGTATGATTCAGTGAATTAGGAAATCATCCCAGTTCATCTTCTTTTTTTTTCTCTCTTAGGTCAATTCTGCAGCAGATACTGGTCAGCATCACATTCCCCAACTTCCTGGATGCAGGTGAGCTCCCATCGATTGAAGCCGTAGAAAATATCAGCACTGTGAGCTTGTGATTAAATTTACTCCAACAAAGATCTACCTCTAGGCATTCGTCATTATGGAAAAGATCTGGTAACTGTTTCAGTATGATAAGGCCTGAAACACATTGTTGGGTAATTGTGTCTTTTTTTTTATATTGAAATTCTGGTGCAACACCTCACCACACGCCGAAAGTAACATTGTGTTCAGGAACTGTTCATCACTCAACGGGGCCACATAACTCATGCGTGCAAGTTGTAGCACATATGAGATGATACGGGCCAATGCGCGGTCATGTCTGTGGGTGGTATTTTGTGCGAATACAAATTTTCCTTTTAGAAAACACAGATTACCATCTGATTAAAAACAGGACAGAATGTCAAGTCACTCTGTTTTTAAAGTTTGAAGTCTTGTGATGACAATGACGGTTGTTTAAAATTCAAAATTATCTCAAAACCCAGAAAAACCCATTGAACCATAACTGCCTGCGTGGCTGGATACCACCAAGAATATGTGCGGAACTTGTAATTTGAGTGAAACGACTCTTGAGGTGAACTGAAGAGCTGGTTTGTTCATCAGCTCAGTCTTTTGTTTGTCAATGACGATTGAATTGTGAATTTGTGCAGCTGCAGAGGTTATGGGTACATGATTTTTAAGCACCGCGGAATCCCAAGAGTCCACGAAATGTAAATCCAATATGTTTTTGTGCATCTGGATGTAGAGCAGTTTTCAGACAGGCAGCTTTAGTTTATTGTGTATTAACATTTTGGTAGCAGGGTTAATTTGTTGTTGCATTAACTGAGGTAACAGATGTACATACAAAGATGCACGAAAGGCGTAAGCAAAGCTTCCCTTCTGTTTCCCGTCTTTTTAGCATCTTTCAGCTCCTTCTTTTTTTTTTCTCGCAAGGTTAGTCTTTGCTTCTCTCACAGAAAAGAAACTGCACATCTTGACTAGAATTAAAGTAAATATCTGAAAAATCTGCCGCAGGAGTTGGAGCTAAGAGAACAAATAATAATGGACTTAAATTTGTCAAAAATCTAATAAAAATCTACAAATCAATAATAATGTTGCTCTATGACTGTTGGATAATTGTCTCCTATCATGTTAACTACATCAACTTGATATAATGCTCAAATGCCCAAAATCAAGAAAGCCATATGATATCAATGTTTGACTTTAAAGTTTAATGAGTTCTGTGTCAGATATATACTGCATACACACAGTATATGTCTATACTTTGAAGTATTCTTTACCACTGTCTTTAAAATGTCATGATTTTAGGATGTACCTGATTTATTCTCTGCCTTGTAAAGCACTTTGTGTTAAACTCTACAAAAAATCGATTATTTTCATTATTATTTACATATAAAGTGAATTTTCTGTTGTAATTATTTGTCCGTCCACAGCTGAAGTGGACAGTGAAGTGTCGGACGCCATGCGGAAAGAGGTCTGCATCACCAAGCAAACCCAGTTTTACTTTATGAACAACAACGTGTCTTTCAGAGGCACGGTGGACTGTGAGAACTGCTCCAGGTGAGAGCTTCACACACACTCTGAGTGGTTCGTTTGCATCCATGAGACACAGATTAAGTCCCCAGAGGTGACACTCAGAGAGGGCAGTAAAACCTCTCATGCCACAGAGGTGAAGTCACGTCACCAGTGGGGACCACCGTCTGGGCATGGTCATGTGTGTTACCGTGCACTCGTGTGTGTGTGTACGCCGTTTTAAGGCCCCCTCGTGCCGGCTAATAGAGTGCCTGCCGGCATGCCGTGTGCCGTTCCTGCGCATTAGCTGCGCACACTTTTTTTCTATTTTACGACCACCATAAAAAAGCAGAGAAAATCATTTGTGCACCAGCGACATGTGGGTTTCAGCAGAGGTCTTGGACGACAGTGGGTTGGCACAGCAGGTTTGTGTCCCCCCCCTTAGGAATAAAAAGCAGTTGGGCAGCTTGATTTAGCGATCCAGTGTGTTTCTCATTGTGTTTGCACTTTTAGGGTTGTGTTAAAGATGAAAGCTTTTCTGGAGTGTTACTTAATCATGTATAAGAAAATAATTACTCTCTACTTTAGCAGCTCATGCTCGAAAAAATACATAAATGTAACAGTGAGTGAAATCAGTGTCTTGCTTTCATTGCTCTGGATAAATATTCAACTTTCTGCATCTCCTGTGAGAATGATTCATTGAAATTGTATCTCCATCTTTCCTGGAGTTGAGCCCACGTGTCAACAACTGCTCATGTGTCTCTTGTGTGCGTCTGCTCCTCTCCAGACTCTACCACGCAGAAAAGCTGCCCAAGACTAACCTGGTCTTTATCATTGCTGATGCGAAAGTCACCTGCTCGTCCTGTGACGCCACCCTGATGAAACAGGAAGAAGAGCCGTGTATCTTTTTACCTAACACAGCTATCGTCTGGCAGGGAACATGTGCACTGGGTTCGGGGGGGACAGATGTTTAAGACGTTGGTGTTTTTTGACGAGATAAACATGGACAGATGCTGATCGTGACATGTTGCTATCAGCTGATTTTCTTAGCACTGACTGTCGAGAGGAAACTTGCAGTAGAACAGCAGAATTTTCTTTCTCGATAATGTGTGAGCATATGCAATTTCCTCACAGTGACAAATAAAGTACGCAATGATCATTTCCACCGTAATTGACGTCCAAAATTTGGCCGGGAATCCAGATGTTCCTGCGCAGTGTTTATCCGTGTCTGTATTGCAGATGGCAGTGTGGGATAATTCTGCCAAATAGCTTACAAACAAATCTGTGATCTTCTCTCGGCTCACAGGGCTGCGGTCAATTATAGATGGAGCCTGGTGGAAAACACAGTGCTTGAAAGCGCCTGCCACATCATTGAGGTATTGAGCAATACGCTCAGCCTAGTTCATGCTGTAAAAGTCCTGTTGCAATTAAACTGAATCTGCTTGATTTGGACAGTCATGAAATGCGTCCCGGTGATTTTCCACTTTGATCAGAATCCCATGTGTAATCATTTCGCGGGTGGTAATCAGAGTTAAGTTTCTTCTATAGACTGTTGTGATTAATCACTCTGTCACAAACTGTCATGTTCCTGACTTCACTCATCCAGCTGAAGGTCCTGATCCCTGTGAGCTGGCTCAGAGTCCTCGGTACAGGAAAGGGCCTGCAGTGTGTTTTGATAACAATGAACATGTAAGTTGCTTTCGTCAGACCTTCACTGATTTGAGAAAAAAATTTGAACAGTGCAAATGTTCTCCTAAGGGTGCTCTGTGTAGATTTTCATTAATGGTTTAATTACTCCAAGCGGCTGAGCAGTGACTGGTGAATTTATTGTTCTCATAAGAATTCAAGAGGTTTGCAAAAGAAAAATCCAGCCTGAAATATCGAAGCATTTCAAATTAAAGTGTGTGCCTTGAGGCTACAGTTTGGGATTCACTGTTAAAACCATTTCAGTCTCTGCCAAGGAAAATGTATGCAGTTTGTAGGACTAAGCCTCTACTACTTAAAATCATCCATAAATCTGCATCCGGGATTTAACATTTTAAATACATAGAGGAAAGCCTGTCCAATAAACCAAAATTACTGTACTAAAGCTAACGGGGGCAACAACAGAACCTGTCGGAGGTTATAGCCCTACCCCCACCGTGCCTGTTAGCGGGGCATTCTTTCCATGTATGTTTTTTATGATGATATAACTTGATCAGTTTGGACGATGAGACCAGAAGGATTTCATTCTTAGTTAAAAAAAGAAAACTCCCTGTTCAGAGCCCAGAATCCATTCTCTATTCTCCGATATAGGAACAATATGCTTCAGTGAAGCTTCAGTTCCATCACTAATATCTTGACATGGTGCACGTCGGTTTTTTTGCTCTGTGCTTGCAGATTTCCCACGCAAAGACAAACAGTCGGTTGTTACCCTCCTTATGAATAACTGAGCTAAACAAACATTTTTAAGAGCAGCACAGAATCTCTGCGTGTGAAACCTCTGTACTTGACTGCCCTGTTTGTTTTCACTACAGTCTTTTTTTTTTTTTTTTTTACAATGTTATCAAGTAACTCGTATGCCTGCACTGTCTTGCTCACTCACATGCACACACTCATCCACACAAACACACCCACACACTAATTCTTAACTCTTCTGTCACGCGCTTGTCTCAGAAGCTAACGCATCTGTCTTTGTATGACTATTTGTCCACTTGAAGTATTTTCCTTCTGCCTTTTCTGTTCATGTTTGCTTTTTAACTTCTTGCTAATGATGTGGACATTTTTGCTGCATGATTCTCTCTTCTCTCTCTCCCGCTCTGTGATTGGCTGTTGATGGTTAGGATGAGGCCATGTGCCGAAGGAGCGCAGGCTCCCCATTGGTTTCCTCTCTGCTCATGTTACTGCTGCCACTGTTCATGTGCTGTCTCGGGTCAGTCCCATAACTCTAGCTCTTTCTCACCTTGTGTGATATTCAATCCAAAGCTGCTTTCAGACATTCACTGATAAACATTTTCCTGAATTTCTCCGGAGGGGCTGTATGTGCTCAAGACAAATTCCAGAAATTCTTCTGCCAGTCGAAATGAGTCCATGTGAGAGCGCAGCAGGGCAATGTGAGGAAAGCCAGTGGGCATATTTATGAGGTTTCTATAACAACAATAATTCAAATAAATCAGGATGATGAAAGAGAGGTGCCCTACATGCTGAAGATGCTGAAGAAGATTTCAAAACAAGATTTAAGCGCTTTTTCAAAAGCATCAGTTTTCGATCTGCCGTAAACTAAAACAGGATTTCTGTAGTCCCCTGTTGTGTTCTTCTTATGTGAAAGGCAAACTTTTCAATTCCGCTCACATTTTCCAAGAGTTAACGTCTGAAATCAGCTTGAAAATCTTTGATTGTAACAGTTGCTCTCTTTCCCCTGATATCCTCTACTTTCCTCACCTTCTCTCCTCTTGTATTTCTTCATCTCTGCATCGTTTGACTAATTCCAGTCATTTTATGTTGCTTCCCTGCAGTTATCCTTGTTACCTGTCAGTCTTCTACCTCCATCTGTCTTCGCCTCCACCTACTCACCTCCCTGTCTTTGAAGCTTTGCTCTTTGTACCGCACCCATCTTTCATAATCCATCTCAGGCAATAAACTCTGGTGTGTATCTTTACTGACATCATGATTACTGACGTATCCTGACAACACTGGCGAGAACAGACTCTTCACTTCTCTTTTGTATCTGGATCCATTAATCTTTTTAATGATTATCGATGGATACTCAGTTGAATATTCCTCCTCTTCTACCAGATGCTAAGCACACAGACGGTATCATATCAGTTTTTAGCCATGCATGATTCCAGTTACATGGAAAAAAAACAGTTTGAAGCCTTGTGATATTTCCTGGGGTTCCAATCGACCAATTGCTAAGCCTCATTAGCAACATGTGCAACACCTGTCAAGCTTTCTCCTCCTGCACAGCACACACAGTTTGTAGTTCAGAATTTCATTAGTTGTAAGGGGAAGAATTTAGGGAATTACTGGCTAAAAAAATGTTAATTGTGTTTATTCTAACAAACAGTAACTTGACTTCTTTGCCTCACCGCTCGGCACTAGGAGGCGGATCTAGACTGTGGTGGGGCATCCAGCCTGAGTCCCCCGCTTTGGCTAATGGCGGTTCTTCAGCTGGTACTGCTCTGGGTTCTGACTGGATCCAGAAACCATGCTGTCCCATCATGACCTCTGAACAACCTCATCGCACCCTCTGTCTCCCTCCCTTCAATTCTCCAACATGGCAACCAGCATGCGATGCTGCCACCGAAATGATGAACGCCCGATGAGAAGTAACTAACAAGCAAAAACCTGTGAGCCCCACATTCTTCCAGTTTCCTCTCGTTTTCAGGGGTTTCTCAGTGATTTCACCAGGTCCAAGGGTGCGAGCGATGAAAGAAATGTGTATCAGATGATCGGTTCAAATAATAAGAAAGACCTTGACCTACGGATGTCCTTCATCCCTTCAATTGTCCCCCAGGGGAGATGAGAGGAATCCAGAGATTAATTTTGATTGGTGACTTCCAAACTTTCTCTGACTTGATGTCACTGAAGACGGAGATTGGCCTGCCTTACAGTATCAGAGGGATTGAGATCCCAGTGGAAGGGACTTGCTGTTTAATTGAAAAAGTTGAGCATTTTTATTCACCACTGCCAGAAACAGTGCTGCCCTTTGCGAGCGTACAATTTATTTAGAATCAATTTGCAGTGGATAGTTATTAGGTTTTTATTGTTTTGTGTTTTTGCGAATTTGGCTACTATTGCAGTACGAGATGCCAAATTTTTACATCAAGAGTTGTTGCTCTTCCGTTGAGTTGCTGATAATATTCTGTCGTCTCTGTCTGATTTTCAAAAAGCAACACCCATGTTCACGATGTCTGAGAGGCCTTCGCCTGGTGTTCTGTCATGTAGATACTGTTCTTGCAATGTGGAAATCATCTTCATTGTTATGTTTTATGCACAGAAACCAACCCATCGACTGCCACAGAGCTCCTGCTTCTGAGTGTATGATTTTGTTTTACAGCTAAACACCTAAACGTCAGCCCTGATCAGGAGTGGTAAATGTGTGCAGATTTTTCCTCCTCTGTGTCGGATCGCTCCAGTTTAAAAACTTTGTTGCCATAGCGCACATTAACCAATCAGGATGAGCCTGGATGGACAAAATCTCTAGTGCCATGTGGACTGTGTGACTCAGACAAACCCTTTAGCTACTAAATGGAGAGAAGTGTAGTATTTAATTTATTTCACTATTTATTTTATTTGAATGAAGCATCGAGACAGCATGCTACCGTTTGTTTTATCCCCACCACTAAAGAAAATGAATGAAGAGTGATGGAGGAGTTTGTACTTGACCTTTTGTTCAACAGAAAAACAGGAAATCCCTTTGTTTGTATTCACTGCTGTCACTTTTTAAATTAAATGACTACTATCTGCACTGCAATTCAAAGTGCAGCTGTTATTTGTCTTTACAGTTTGACTGCTGGCTGAGGAACAGCCTCCATCTCTGTGTAGTAGTGAGATTCCCTTTTGCAGTTTATTATCCTGTGGCACCAAGTGGAAATCACTATGCACCTGCGTTCATGCCTGTGATCCTTTCTATTGCTTTTAAATGTACTTTCAATTCGCTTCATTTTTCATCTTTTTGCATTAGTTACATAGAACATACCTAATTTAAGCAGCACAATTTGCAGATGATTAACTGCAGATGAGTTTAATAAAATTGTTGGATTTAATTCAAACTAGGATGACACTCATACCCCCGCCATGGCCCGACAGTCCCCTTGAATTCAGTTAGGCCAAGGTAACAGTGCAGATCATGAAATTATCATAGTCTCCATTGCTGAGATTTAAATTAAGACCACCCCCCCAAAGAAGTCAAAATATTAAATACAGACTTTGTCCAGATTCACGCCAAAATTGAATGAGTTCTTGGCTCATGTCCCATCCGTCCACCACGTTCAGTGGAAGTGTTTTTTGCACACAAACTGATGGGAGAAAACATAACCTACTTGGTGGAGGTAAATACAAACTGTCTTATGACAGTGTGGACGTTCTGACCCTTGACTGCTCTGTTGTTAATACTACTTTATTAAATTGAATCACTTTCATTTTCGAACATGGTTTTCATTTTGATCTCACGTACAAACTTTGTGTATCTTGCAGGTTTTCGAAAATCTACAAAATGAACCATCTCTCTGGTGGTTCCCACAACCGTAGATGACTTAGATCATATTTTGCTGCAATGATGCAGACACAGACTCACAAGGTGGAAAAAAAACTATCTTGTGCATCACTAATGTCAGCAAAGATAACGCAAAGGATATTATTTTATATCAGAATGAAAATATAAGAGAATAGAAGTTCTCATAGAAGATGAGAAAAAGATATAAATTAAACAGGAAATATTGTGTTGGGAGGAACAGTTGAAAGCTGTGGTTACAAAACAAGCTTTAAATCCCTGAAATAAAACTGTCACTTTTATTTAAGCCAGCTGCATGTGGCGATGTCAACAAGTAGTTAGACAATTTCAACAATCCTGAGATGTCCGTCGGTTCACGAGAGGAATTGACATTAACAGGTTTAGTGAGAATGCATGCACACACCTGCCAGAGGAGAAACTATAATGTTGTTTCTTTTTTTTGTTAGTTGAAGGATTCGCTCCATGTTTTCTCATAAAATCACCAAATATCGTTTCATCTGTTTCACATTCAAGACATCAACAAAAGTAGTAATTTGGCGGTTTCGGGTAGACGCTGTGTACATAACGCCACTAAAACAGAACAGGGATCTTCTAGAAGTGCGTGTTAGACTAAACAGTCGACACGTGTTTGCAGGAAACCACTAATTCTGTGGGAAAGTAAAACCATATAATTAAAAAAAAAGAGTGCACCACATAACCACTTTCACTGTATTTTTTGAATTTCATGCATTCCTCCAGGTCAGATTAGGGAACGCTGGCTCAATGTTTTTTTGTCGCTCCATCACCATCGTTAAACCATTATCACCGCCATCATCGTAGCTTTCCAACTGGTCTGAGGGAAACATTCTACTCACAATGTTTCCATCCATATTCAACTATAACCTTCCACCTGAAACAATGTCGTGAAACTTAACAATGCTATTTAATATTTACTAACACTCAAGAATATCAAGTGCCATATAGGACTCTTATTCTCTTGTGGAGAAACCTATTATTCTAATATAACATTTATGCAACGTTACCAAGGCAAGATGTACGTCTCATGAATTGTTTCCCTGTGATTGCATGGTTGTGGCTGACAGTTTGTTCAGAAAATATCCAGTGTGCTCCTGCTTCAGTGTGTAATATTGGGAAGCATACTATTCTGGGTGTCCTGCATTTATTCACGATATGATAAGGTTACGATCAGCTATTACTGCCTTTCTCTTGGGGGGACAGCATTTGCCTCCACCCCGCTCTCATTCGATTTGGGAGAGGGAACCTGATTGGCCAGTGTGAGGTTTAAACGCACTATTCTTGATCTGATTGGTTCGAGTCACGTATGATTCACTGCAGTTAGAGGACCGTTCCAGTGACTGAGCAGGTTTTATTTATAGACTGTAAATAAAGATGGTCACGTCTCCAATTCCTCAGAAATATGCAGGGTGTGACTTCTGCCATCTTGTGCATGCAGAGTAGTGATTTCTAGTCATTTTAACCAATCACGAGTCAGTCTCAGCCATCACACTGTTCACCCTGTTTTCATAGCATCAAATAGCTAATTACAAATAAACCTACAAGAAAAAAGAAAAAAAACACTGAATGTGCATTAGTGTGTAAAGTGCTGCCTAAAAAAGATAAATTATCATTTACTCTGACTTTTAAGTTTCTTCCATCCCATCCACTAACATGGAGGAGTAGGGATTTATGACCTATACTGCAAACAGCCACCAGGGGACGATCAAGAGACTCTGGCTTCACATTCAGGGAGCTGTCGTGTCATCCATCTTTATATGCAGTCTATGGTTTTATATCATTAACTACAAATCATGTATACTTAACACTACCTTGTTGAAGTTGTATAACTGCTAGCATAAACACGTTACCACTGTAATTGTGAGCATGCTGCACGCTAATTTAAGTATTTAGCTCACAGCTACAGCTAGTAGGCGATGGCCTCTTGAAGCCACAAAGGTGCAGACTTGTTTTCATTTGTGTACAGTTTGCAAATGAAATGGCAGACTCTTGAAAAACAAACCAACAAAAAAGAAAAAGGACATCCAAACATTGCGAAACACAAATAAAGTATCCATGAACTGTAGCTATAACGAGTAAAAACTAGCTTGGTCCTTTTTGAACATGAGCTTCATAATCGTCCAAATGTTCCATTCAACTCTTTAAGTGCTAAAATCAGATGCTGTCACCTCAGGAATAATATACTCTCAATGTGATATGAAGTCTTTTTGATTCTGTGGGTAATCTCTGTATGGATCGTGTGGATTGGCCTTTTTATTTCTGGAATCTTGAGGATTTGCTTAATGTGTGGTTTTGTGTGTGTGTGTGTGTGTGTGTCTGTTACCCTGCTGCCACTCTCTGGCAGACGACTGGTGGAGCGGTCGGGCAGTCTCTCCCTGTCTTCGGTTTTAAGACAGGCTCTTGATGGATGCGTCCGCCAAGTCGTTCCTCACCAGACTACAATTACATCCACACGTTTTATTTTTAAAATGGCGTTTGAAAACTAAAACTATGTTTGCTTGAATTAGCGTTTCAGGTCCTATGTCCTGCCTCCTTCATTCTCTACCCAGGTGCTAACCCTCCCATGAATGTCCCGAACGTTTTCCTGTTGTTGTGAAAGCGTCTGACTCAGACAATCTCCTGCTCCAGTCATCCGATGAGAAAGGCAAACTCCAGATCCAATCTACCGGACATGTTCCGGAGTCTGTAAATTGTGTTACACAAACTACTAGGGAAAAGTAAACAGCAATGGTGAAAAGTAAGAACAGGGTTTTTTCTTTTCTTATACCGAGAGTAAGCACTGGCAATAGTTTGTATTCGCCGCTTGTAGTCGATTTGTGACTGATAAGACTCAATCAGGAACTAAATGTCGGTGTCTGCCTCATCGTTTAACATCGTCTCTGCCTGTCCAGACTAAAATGCAGCCCAGAATTGTCTAAACAGAATCGAGGGCCAACAGTGTTTCCAAAGTTCTTTATTTTTAAAAGCAATGGTGTACACAGAGTGGAAGTGATACTTTTTAAAACTAAAACCTAGTGTGGATGTAGCACCAGAGTCTGGTGAGAGACAACTCGGTGGGTCTTTCTGTCAGTCCCCCTTGATTGTGCTTTAATATATTACACTTCTGTGGAACTCGATTCTCCAGAATCAGTTGTTTAAAAATTTGGACAAAACTGATGTTGTTCTCTTCAAAAAGAAAAAATAACAATGTTGATAACCCTGTGGATGGAGGAAAGATGTGTTTATTCATGTGCAAATAAGATGTAAAACTTCAGAATAAAAGTTTATGATTATTATCTGTTGCTTTTCATTTAGAGTTCTGGCTGACGTCCTTTTCTTGCAAAATATCAGGGAGTTTTTTTTCCCCCCGCAGTGGATTGGATTTCTTTCACTAACTTCTGTCACATTGCCAGCACACATTTCCCATCCAAATGTGTGTGAGAATGAGAAGGAAGCACCCCGAGTCTGCTCTCCCTGTGTCTAGCCAACATCAGAAACTGACGTCCGGCCAAGATCAACAATGTCCAGGAGAAAAAAAAAAAGGACGGTGGCTCAGGTCCAGCCCCGTCTCTCTACAGCATTGAATTTGGCTCAAGGACGTGTCCATTAACAACGACCCGTAATGTGCCTCTGGTCATAAATTTGCAGTAATTCCTGTTTTCCCTGTTGCCTGTTGATCAAATGGTAAGTGACTTTCTCGTTAGTGCCGTCCGCTTTACACTTGAACTTGAAACCAGCTGTGGTCAAATCCAGATTGTTCGAGCCACTATTCCTGTCTAACCCCCCAAAGACAAACTACTGGCTCATTTTACTCTTTATTATGGACGTTAAAACCAACCCTACCTCTGTAAGGAACCCTGCGAGCTGAAATCTGAAATCCCTTAGGGACAGGTGCTCAGGTACGTTTTAAATGAGACCAATTACAATGTCTTTAATATTTATTTTTAATAAAAAATGGCCTCTATTGTTGGAAGCACAGCTGGTGAATGGTTATACAGAGAATGTGAGATTACATATTTTACAGACCCTGTGAAAAAATTCAAGCAAAGATTTGTGAAACTTTTTGGCAAATGTGATTCGATGAGTGAATACCAAATAAAATCCACCTCAACCCTCTTAGATTTAGATATATAGGCCTTGTCTATTAGATTTTGTAACCATGGCATATTTTCACCATTTGTCTTTTTTTTTCATGCATTCAGTGAATATTGTACGACAGATTTATTATCGTGCTAAAAGAGAGAAACCTGTGTTTTCCCGTGACA